GAAGATTGGTTGTTCAGAGAGACAGAGAGACGGGAGGAGGCGATGAGAACAAGAGGAAATCAGAAGAATTTGGGAAAGTGATGCGAAATACTCACGCAGATTCCCAGGCGAAATTAAATACATGCTATAATAAAAGCCAATGCGAAATTACAAAACAAGCCCTAATATCCTCACAAAGCTGATGCACGTGGCAAAAAAGCCCAAATCATCTGGACCATTTATTTAAACTAATTAAGGGTCAGAAAAGGTGCTCACGAGCTCATCTGCCAAGGGGGTGTGCACCGGATCCAAAATCTATATATATATATATATATATATATATATATATATATATATATATATATATATAAATTTACCACTGATCTCAGCCATTCTCCACATTTTGAGGCATTGAGCGCAGGTGAGCCATTTCCTCTCTTCGTCTTCTCGACTTCTCTCTTCTCTCGTGAGTAGTCATGACTCTTTTCTCTAGTTCTCTACTTCCTTTGTTCCTCAGTTCCTCTCTTCGATTTCCTCGCTGTCGTCTTCGCAAGCTTCTCCCGATGAGTTTTCGGTTTCCGGGCGACGAAAACGGAGGATCTAGATTCTCGACGCGGAGGACTCTGCTTCGGATGAGGCTGGCGATTTCCTAGTCGGTTTCCAATGAATTGTTCCTTCTGATGACCGGTGGACGGTGGTACTGCGTACTGGACTACTGGTGGAAGCCCTACCCCTTAGCAAGCATGGTGGTGAACTGGTAATAGAAAACCCTAATTTTATTTTTTTGATTTATCCATTTTTTTGTGATGATCGAAAATAGGCTGGCGATTTCCTGGCCATCTTCCAATGAATTGTTCCTTATAATGACCGGTGGACGGTGGTACTGCGTACTGGACTTCTGGTGGAAGCCCTAACCCTTAGCAAGCGTGGTGGTGAACTAGTAACTAGAAAACCCTAATTTTATGAATATATGATGGCTGTGATTCTGTGCTTATAGAGATGATGAAAATATATGTTCTGATTTTGTGATTCTGTGCTTAAAATTCATGTAAATATATTATGTGGAAGCTTATAAGTTGCTACTGTGATATAATATGGCCATATGAATAGTTGGTCACAAAAAAATGATGAAATATGTTATGATTTTGTGATTTTGTGCTTAAAATGCATGTAAATATGTACTGCGAGAGCTTATAAGTGGTTAAGAAGCATGGTGATTTTGTGATTTTGTTAATCTGCATTCTGAATTGCTGATTGCTTGGTTTTATGAATTTATGGTGGAAGCCCTAGTATATTATATATATGGATTGTGTTGGACTAGTGGAAGCCTATTGTAACTTGTAAGTATGTAATGATGAACTGTGATTAAATTCTTTTTATGGATATTTTCTGTATTTCTGTTAATATGTATGAATGTTGGATTATTATGTGATTTATTGTAGAAGCTTAATCTATTTTATGTGGATTATTGAACTGTGACTTATGACTTGTGAGGTAAACTGAGAGCTGGGACAAATGGACAATAGCAACAATTGAATTGTTACTGCCTTTAACTCCTTCCCTGAGGCCTATTGAGTATACAACAGGTATCAATAACCTTCCGAGTTCCGAACTCGTCCGATGCACACCCCTTTTAATCAGTTCAGTAGGCCTTTAAGCCTTTTGCCTTGATTCTTTGAATCTTGAGTGAATGGTCATATGGTCAATCTAATATGGTATATCTGTATATCACTCCCTTACTCTTATTTACTTCTTAACTTAGTTCTTAGTTCTTAATTCCTAAGTCTTAATGTTTAGTGTTTACTAATTACTGTTTTGTTGGTTATGATGATGCTTCCACCATTTGTTTGAATCAAAGGACTTTGGATTGGTATGTTACTCATGAGTTTGGGATTTTGTTCCGAAACTCATGTAGCAATTTGCCTCCAATCCTACATTGATATGGAAAGTAGCAATCTGAGCCTTTTTTCTCTCTCAGCAGTTAGCACTTAGCAGCCATCACACATGTAATTATTGTGCATTTTCTGTTATGTTAATTGAGATTTTCAACAAGAAGATGCTGAACTCTGAAGTGGTGAACTAGTGGACTGGCAGTCTGTTGAGTGTTGATTCATGAAGTTGTTGTAAATTGAAGTTTCATGTTCTAACTTGTAATTACTAATTTGTAAGCTTTTAACACTTGAACTAAAAAGTAGTATATTTTGTATTTTTCTAAAAAAATCCGAACAAAATCCGACATCCGACAAAAATTCGTCCGAATCTGAAATTATAAATATCTGATGGTTTTAACTGATTAAATAAACGGATTGGGTATAGAAAATAAAAACCAAAATCCGAACGGGTTGGCGGTTCATACACCCGAACCGTCCGAACCCGTCCGATGCACACCCCTGAGTAAAAGTGTCCAAAAAAAATAGTCTGGGATGTTAAATGACAAAAATGATAATTTGGGACTAAATTTGGAATTGTCACTAAATACAAGGGACCTCTAGTGGATTTAACTCTAATTAGAAATTATACTATAATATATATATAAATATCTATAATTTCTAATTAGTAATTATAAAAAAATAAAATGAAAAAATAAAGAGGCTGAAGCTGTCTGTATTCGTGAAGCTCTTAGTTGGCTTAAGGGAACGGGAATGGGAGATGTTGATTTTGAGACAGATCCATAGTTAGTTTACCATGCTTGGATATAGACGATGTTAAAGAAGTTGCATCTACGATGAGTTGGCTTAAGGGAACGGTAATGGGAGATGTTGATGTTGAGACAGATTCACAGTTATAGTTTACCATGTTTGGATATAGACGATGTTAAAGAAGTTGCATCTACGATAAATTGTGTTGACTTCTATTTTGCTAAGCGATCTGCAAATCGTGCTACCCACATTGTTGCTCGAGAAACTATTTCTATGTCAGGTTGCGGGGACTAGTTTGATAACTTAACCCTCCTTTGTTTCTTTTTTACTGTGTTTCCTATGATTTAATGAATCAAAAAGAACATAGTCAATCCACTATGCGCGGGTTCAATTCCCGTCATTCGTCCATTGCATCTTTATCCATAACTTATAAGAATAATCAAATATATGATACATATATATCTATCATCCAAGGTCCTGATTACATGCATCTAGTAGGGATTAAACCTATGACTTTGTCAATTATGAGTTGGGCGCTTTCACCACTCAATCATAGATACTTAACAGGGACCCTGGTCTATGGTGCCAATCCAATTAAAAAATAAGTCAAATTAAAATAACATAAATCATTTTTAAATTAAAATAACATAAAAGAAGAATCAAAATCAAAATGAGATGAAATCTCGGGGTGAACCTAATGCAAAAAAAAAAAAAGACAAATCAAGATGCAAAAGAGACAAATCAAGTTCTGTATTTTTGAATTGAGAGAGATAGTGAGAGAGATAAAGAATACTCACTATTTCTTAGATTCGTGGACCCAATTCAATTCAGTGGAATCCTTTATTCACATTTTTCCACCAATAACGTTTTCTAAAACTCTTTGACCCACGTATTTTTAGTATTATACTTTCACGCAATTTCCAGGGTTTAACAAGCAATCAATCTTTCACGATCAAGGGAGTAATACTCTTTGTAGTAGCGGTACTTATAATTTGTATTAACAATCGAAATATGGTTAAAAGAAAAAACCTATATTTGATAGTATTTCTTCCTATACCTATGAATTCCACTGGACCCAGAAATGATCAATTGGAAGAAGCTGTTGGGTCTTCCAATATCAAATAGGTTGATTGTTTCGCTCCTATATCTTTCAAAAGGAAAAAAAGATCTTTGAGAGTTCTTTCCTAAATCAGAAAGAGAGTATTGGGTTCTCTCAATAACAAAGAGGAATTCTAGTTATAGGATATCTAATGAAACCGTCGCCAAAATTGAGATCTTATTCAAAGAGAAAGATAGAAAATCTCTGGAGTTTCTTTTTGTATATTATATGGATGATGATTCGGCCCACAAGGACCATGATTGGAAATTGGTTGATCCTATTTTATCAGAAAGATTAGCGAAAGACTGGATTTCTTATCTTATGTCTGCTTTTCGTGAAAAAAAAAATACTAATTGAAGCAGGGTGTTCTTCAAACAACATGAGCATGTTTCCCATATCTTCTCGAGAAACAAGGGGGCTATTCCGTTGCAAAATTGTACTCAATTTCATGTGGAAATTCTGCCAAGATCTCATCCTTTTATTCCTTAGTTGGGGGAATAATTCGCCCGAATCGTATTTTTGGTTAGACAATGTGTGGTTGGGAAAGAAGGACCGGTGTTTTAGGCAAGGTACGGAATGTATGGTCAAATATTCAATATGATTCCACAAGGTCTAGTTTCGTTCAAGTAACGGATTCTAGCCAACTGGAAGGATCTTTTGATCAATCCAGAGATCATTTAGATTCCATTAGTAATGAGGATTCGGAATATCGCACATTGATCAATCAAAGAGAGATTCAACAACTAGAAGAAAGATTTATTCCCTGGGATCCTTCCTTTTTTCAAACGGAACAAAAAGAGATAGAATCAGACCGATTCCCGAAAAACCATTCTGGATATTCCTCAATGTCCCAGCTATTCACGGAACGCGAGAAACCGATGATTAATCATATGTTTTTGGAAGAAATGCTAAAATTTATTGGGGATGCTACAAGATCCTTTCATTTTTTTTTCTGTGATAGATGGTCAGAACTTCATCTGGGTTCGTATCCTACTGAGAGGTCCACTTGAGAACAGAAATTGTTGAAGAAACATCTTTCTTTTGTCCACTAGTACAGAACAACTAATTCGTTATTGCTGAAAAGGATTTTTCGCAACTATTGTATAACAGTGGCAGATACTAGGGTCATGGAAAGTTTGCGACAATTGTTCGTAAAGTACGGTGGCATATTATGTTTTTTTTTTTATCAATACACTATATATAAGGACAATATAATTTAACTAACAACACAATATTCAATATTATGTAGACAAATACTATCAACACATGTATACAAATTAACTAACAATATTATCAATACACTTTTAACACAATAATATCGTCAACACAATTTTTTATATCAATCAAATACCTTTAACACAATAATAAATTATCAAGATAAGATAATATTTATTCTAAATCAAAAGTTACACGCACTCTTCCATGAAGTATTTTGCCCATAACTCTTGAATCTCATTTATGTCGTTGATAGAGTACGTATTATTGCTTTCAAATGCCTACAAAATAATTTAATTAATAAAATTATTAAATATTTTAATTAATAAAATATAATTTAACTATTTTAAATTCACTTACCTCATCCAAACAATTAACGGAGGAATATTTTTTCACGATATCAAACATGTATCGCATGACATAATATCCACACTCAACAACTCCCGGTTGTTCAGGGCACTACAAAATACATATATATTTTAGCAATTTAAACAATTTATTTTAATTCAAAATATCATACTAAAACTTTAATTCAATTTTCATACATACTTTGCAATGCTTCCAATTGATGTTCCTAACATGGCTATAAGCCAAGCGAAATGCCCTATATTAAATATAAACATACATAAACATTTATAAATATATAATAGCTAGAATTTAAAATACTTATATTAATAATAAGGTATTTACTTACATATTCAGATTAACTTTAATTTTAATGGTGCGATTACATGGCAATGGATCCAAGACATATACGGTTTTTGAGCGTATGCAAATCACCAAAAGTAACCAATGATATCTACATTTACAAAACACATATACATATTAAAAGTTTAATATCTAATACTTCAAATAATGTTATTAAGTTATATTAGTAAACTAAGAACAATTTTCTTACTCTTGATGATATGGTGCTAAAATAAATTGTTTATCTTTGTGTCGCGTCATGACGTGAATGAAATATGACGTAACAGCGGGAGCATTCTGTATAACCATATCTTTTGAAATCTGAGTCGGACAGACAAACCCGATTGACGTGACTTGAATATGATTGCACAACCAATTAAGATATCTAAAAATTAACAAATAATAAGAAATTTCAAAAAACATAAAAACACAAATACATATAAAACACAAGAATACTTTTTTTTTAAAAAAAAAAAACTTACAATATAAACACTTGTATGATTGAGACGTCAAGGCAATTCATCGTCATCAAATCCATTATATCATCTATCATCACAAAAATAGAACGCGTGTTTGTATGATGAAAGATTGTCTGATCTATCTCCAACTCAATGTAGTCTTTAACAAGTGTAAATGATGTCAACAAACTGACTAAGTACTTGCACTCGTCCCCCAAGTGTTGTAAGACATCATCGGCAACAATTGGAGATCGTGTACCAGTATGAGATAGTTCATCACTTTGATCTTTTGTTTTCTTATTTTGTTTTTGTGAACTCTACAAATATAAAATTGTAATTATACTAACATTTTAAATATAAACAACAAAAATTAACTTAATAACTAAATATAAGAATGTATACCTCATCCAGAATCACTAAATGCATAGGCGGTTGTGCAAAATTGCCAATGGTTGATGGTTGATGATGCACCACAGTTTCGTCTGTACTTGGGTGAGCGATACCCTTTGCAACAACAGTCGGTGTGCCACCAGGACATACTGCTAGTGTACACTTTTTTGGACTCTATATTAAAAAATTGTGTTAATCTTAATCTAACAAGAAATGATATTTTGATTATGAAATAACTTTTAATATTACCTTAATTGTTATAACTGGATATGTGTCAACTGAATGATAGCTGCTATGGGTAGGAGGTGGATCATAAAGCGGCGGATCAAAAGGGGTATAGACACTTAGAGGAGTTCCAGCCGAGACCTCTTGTGGAAATAGTTGTGTCGCCGACATGTTCTTCATCTGAAACTGGAGTTGTTGGTTGAAGCTATCAATCTTGGATTGCATCTTTGCTTCCATCTCTGTTATTGTATCTTGCCTGCATTTGTCCATCATTTCTTTGACAGCATCAATTGTGAAAACCCTACTCGATGTGCTCCGTTTCTGATCTGTTCTACTTAACATTCCTTGGATGGTAGAGTATGAACCAACTCCTCTTACAGAATCCATATGATCATTCTTTCCAAGAACCGCTGACAATGTGTCATGATGTTTCTTCGGTTCAAATGTCCCTTGATTAATTTCTTCACATTTTTCTTCCTATTCCAACAAATAAGATAAGCCAAGTATTAATGTTTTTATAAATATTATGTATTATTATGATATTTTTAAAAATATATATATAGTTGTTACAATTTTATTATCAACTAGTCAAACCCACTAACAAAATCAGCTAACAGCTACTCCAACTTCCTCATCTTGATAGAAAAAATTTATAGTAATAATTTGAACTTTGTTTCCAATTGCTCCTCCAAATATTTGATTGTTTAGGAGGATGAGAGCGAAAACCTCATGGTATCATTTTTATAGGTTACCTTGACAAACATTGTGCTGTTACATTGGTTTGTATTTGTGGCTTGTAGAGGAGGCATAGCAGGAGATGATTGAATTCCTTTATGTTTCTTAACAGCTTGTACATGTTGTTTTTGGTTGAGAGGGCAATTGGACATTTTTCCCTTGTGATTTGGCCATCTAGTGATGCCAAAGTCCCGACATGCTCGCTTGAATGTAGATATGCTAACTGCACAATATAATATAATGGGAGATTAAAGAAAATCAAATGTGTCTATGAGAATATATGATAAAACTGTAGTGTTAGCTCACTTTTAAGAGTTTCAGCAGCAGCATCGCGACGTTTACCAAACTGTTGTTGAAGAACTTGGCGGGTAATTCCATGATCTTTCTCCCACCTGCTGATAGTGTTGGTTTTCTCCGAACTATTGTTTCCACCTTTGGCATCAATTGTATTATTTGTTCCCTCATTTGTTGCACTGGATTTGGGAATATGGCTTTCACATTGTAAGTCCAGTTGCATCACCCTGCATGCTGCTTCAAGTAGTGTTGGCAAAATGCAAACATTATTACTCTTTTCTAACTCTGCAGCAAGCCCCTCATTGTTGTCACCCTTTTCTAACTTTGTAGCAAGCCTTGCAAGGTTGTCTAGCAACTGCCTTTTCAAACTATTCCGATGTTGAAGTTCTAGGGACGCCACTTGGAAGTGTGCTATAATTGGTTGCACACTGTTGGAAGTATCCCCAAACTCCCTTTTCAAAAATTCAAGCACCGCGCTACTGTACATACCACATTGACCACTTCTTGGTGGATGAGTAACTGATTTTTGTTCAATCAACGCTCCCCTCATCCCTACTTCAATTTCTATTAAACTGAAGGTAGTATAATTAAATTTCCAGAAAAGATTAACATCTGAATGTGCCACCGGCAATCCTTTTTCCATTGCCTGTACACTAATATTCAACCAAAACTCCTTGTGGGAGAGAAGTTCAAATTCCACAGCATTCCGTGAAACCGTAATCGTCATTATTCTTTCCCTATTAAGAAACTCATGACCCACAGGATACGCTCCATCATCCCAAAATCTATATGGGTCAAAACTTCCTCCTAGGCCTAGGGGAAGGGAATCATTGGACGGCAATGAATAGTTCATCATCATTGGCGAACTTGGCATCATTCCTCCCGCCAATTGGAACCACTCACCTACATTATTAACAGAGTGATCATCAGTTCTTTGTGGTTGCACCGTCCCTCCCATGTTTTCTGCTTCAAGTGCTGCGGCCCAAATGCCAAGGCTTTGATTCTTCTGTCCCAAGCCACTGATACTGGCGCTGCCAGCATCAACTTCTTCTACACACGGCTGCTGCTTCCAAGTTGGCTGCATCATCATTCCCTCCCTATTCTCTAACTCTTCAACCTCACTATGATCTGCAAAATTCAACAATCTAAATGGATAGAAATTTGAGATGGAATCACCGGACGGCAGGGAAAAGTAGTTTATCCTTGGGGGACTCATGCTCATCATCGTTCCTCCCCCCATCCCCATGTAGACGTGGAAATTGGGGCTTTGGAACAACGCTTCTTCACCAGAAAAGTTCATCCTTGGCCTTGGGGGGCTCATCATCATTCCTCCCGCCATGTCGCCCAGAAAATCCGGCGTAAGGAACAATGCTTCTTCACCAGAAAAGTTCATCCCTGGCCTTGGGGGACTCATCATCATTCCTCCCGCCATATCCAACAGCAAATCGCAGTCTGTATTAACAGAGTGATTATCACAATCTGTTTGTAGATGATGGACAACACTAGTCGTCTCAGCTTCTTCACTTATTTCCGACTCCGTAACAGGGTTGCAGGTGAGAGCGCCATGGTTGAACAACGACCTCGTGGGAGAGGGAGATGCAGCATTTGGTGGCGGTTGAGCCAGTCCCGGAGATGGCAAATATTCAGCAGAGGGGTCAATGAATGATGATGCATCAACAAGTCTCATTGCTGAATTTGAGTAGCTGTAGGTGCTGCGAGAGATTGATTGCTGGAAAATGTAATAATGTTCAATTTCGGCTTTGCTTGGGATCTTTGTTGACTTGTAGTTGTGGATTAGATTAGCGTCGGGTCGGCCATCTATATATAATAAGGAATTATTAACGATGGCGTCATTGCCGGAATGCCGGCTGCCCCTTTGAACCTATTTGTGTGTGTTTTTTTTTTTTTTTTTTTGACAAACCCCTTTGAACCTTTTGAAAACCTTTGGGTCCTTGGCTCCTTGCATACCAACAAGGCAACAACTCAACCTCAATTACCATCATCCACCATAATATTAACTGTATTTTTCCACTCTTTCCAACACCACCCAAACTTCTGTCCAGAATTGCATAGTTAAATGGTAGTCACCTTAATACAACACTATTTCAGGGCGGTCCACGATATAATGCTTGCTTATATGTTGTTCCAAAGTTAGGACAATCATTTCAAAACTTCTACACTTTTTCCCCTTTTTTAACTTGATAGCCTTCATAATATTTCTTGAAAAAAAAGTTAAATAAGTCGTCGAAAATATATATATATATATGATCGCGTTCACGTGCGAATTGCTCGTCCAGGAAAGAACTGAGAACCATTCAACGTCGTCCACGTGTCTACATGGGCGGATCCACAGTGGGGGTAGCTGCCCCCACCCCCTCATCCAATATATATAGTATATATATTAAATATAGGGAAAACGGCGCTTTTGGCCCTTCAATTGTTTTACTTTTTGAAATTTAGCCCTTGTCAATTGATTTGAACAAATCTAGTCATTTAATTGTTAATAATGTGTCACATTTGGTCACTCATATTATATAATTAGATACTATTGTTTTATAAGTATTTTCATGAGGTTATAATTGCCTATTCTTCAAGTATTTTCTTCTCTTTCTTCTCCTCATCCTAAATGTATGCCTTTACAATTCAATAGATGAGATTGCATTATACTAAAATTGGAGATTTCATAGAAATAATAAAAAAAATAAAATAAAAAGCACAAATCTATATATATATATATAAATAAAATCCTCCTAATCAAATATATAATCTAATAATAATAGTAATAATAATAATAATAATAATAATAATAATTTATATAATGTTATTACCTTAATTAAATATTTTATTAGTTAAATAATTGATAAATCTTATTTGGTAAGTAAATGTTTAATGGAAATTAATTTTTATTACGTGATTATGGTATTGTTATGTATGGTATTTTATTGATGATAAAATTATCACCAACCGGTCATTCTCTCCTCTGTCCGATCAGTCTCACCATGGTTTTGTCGAAGACAGCTTCCGAGTCTGATGTCTCCATTTGCTCAACATTTGCTTCCAGATACGTTTGAGCTCCCCTTCCTCGGTAAATATATACTCCTTACTCTATTTATTCCGTTCCATTTTATGTTCTTCGATTAGGTTACTTCAAAAAAAAGTGAGAAAATGAACGCTGGCGAATGATCGCATGTTTAAAATGCCAGAGAACTCGATCCCCAAGGAAACCGCGTTCCAGATCATAAATGATGAGCTGATGATTCTGGACAGGAATCCGAGGTTGAACTTGGCGTCGTTTGTGACCACTTGGATGGAGCCTGAGTGCGAAAAGCTTATCATGGCCGCCATTAACAAGAACTACGGACATGGATGAGTATCCTGTCACCACTGAGCTTCAGGCAAGTCTTGGCCAAAGTTTTTTGTGAAATTACGTCGAAGGCGGAAGAAAAACGCAGCTTTTGTATTGTTAATGATAAACATTTTAATGTCGTATCTTTAGAAATCTTAGTTTTCTCGGGATTTTCTTTACAAATTTTTGAGTTGGGTTCGTTGAAAATTTCT